GAGATGGCAGGTTTTCCGTTCGGAATACTTCTATGGGCCCCTTTGTCAGTTGATACAGAGACTAGTAGCCTGGGATGGGACCCAGAGTAAGAAAGATTCAAGGCTGAGTAGGGATTACCACCATTACTTGGTCCATTGGCTGAGTATGACTTAACACCATCGCCTGGGCAGACTTTTATCACATCTGAGGCATCTCAAATAGAGAATGACTGTAAAACCACTAGCCATCTGGCTTAGATACATAGTTACAAATGGCTGATTACAACTGATTCAAAGTTTACCTGATAGGTGCTTAACATATGCTAGTCCCTGTGCTGAAAGCTGCAGACAAAGAAATAAAACTTAATACTTATTCCTGAGAAGCCCAGAGTTCAATTTTACTCTATTTGCATGTATTTAATTCATCCATTACTTTTCCTTCCTCTGACATTTTGCAGGCCTTGGGGAAAACACTCAAGAACAAGTTCCTAACTAGCATATATTGCAAACCAGGTGTGATGACACAATTTTGAGATTGAGGCTAGGGCAAAATGATCACAAATTCCAGCCCAGCCTTGACTACCTAGTGAGATCTGTCTGAACCAGTGAATACTGCAAATTGGACTAAACCATTACCTATTATTGATGAAAACATATAGTGGTCATTCTTTACCAATAAAATCCAGTATTTACTGAGTACCCACTGTGTGTCATGCTATTTCAGCAAACAAATCAATGAAGGCACAGAAGGGGCAGTAGAACTAAGATGTGCATACGGAGCCACTGCTGGCACCCCACATTTGGTTTTCCTCACACTAAAAACTACATGTGATTTCCTCTGTATCAGAAACTGCTTTGATCTATTCCAACTCTATCCTCATTTGAAGCACTCGTGACTGAACATTTCAAAGAAGCTTTTTCATGCTGACCTCACACACGCTAGGCCAGTGGCTTTACGACTGCACCACACACTCCCAGCCAGGATTTCTTTTGGTAGCCCAGGCTGACCTGCCTCAGATTTACAAGGCACATGCCAGCCCTTCCATAGAGTCGTGTAGAGGGTATTCAAATGTCCTCCTTCTAGGCTCATTAATTGCTAGGAACTCAGTCTCTCAAGCTAGCTTTGACAGTGACAGTTGCAGAAGGAAGTGTCTCAAGAACACAAAAATTCTGCCAGTAAGCAACTCAGAATCAGAAACAAAGTACAGCTAGACATCACAGGAACAGAAACTATAGGGATTGTCTGAGGCTCTTCTCTCACTAGGGTTGCTTATGGTTTGTTTGTTTGTTTGTTTTTGGTTTTTTTGAGACAGGGTTTCTCTGTCTCTTTGGTGCCTGTCCTGGAACTAGCTCTTGTAGACCAGGCTGGTCTCGAACTCACAGAGATCCGCCTGCCTCTGCTTCCAGAGTGCTGGGATTAAAGGCGTGCGCCACCGCTGCCCTGCTGCCTATTATGTTTTATTCTTACCAGCTTCCACACAGACTGTTTGTGCTTCAGTTCAAGGGTACATCATTGTAGTCAATCTAAACAAAACTATAAACCCTAGAAATAAATGGATTGGTCCATCTTATTGTATGGATTGGATATTCTGGCCTTATCTGATCGTCTACGGCTGAGGTGAAGTTACACTATTGACAAAGCTACCTAAGAATGTGCGCATGGGTATGCATGCTTACTTGGATCCATGAGTGCTAAGTGCACACTTTACCACTGACCTATACCCTGGATCCGTATCTAGGCTTGTCTTGTGGATATGAGCTGGATTTCTTAATATACTGGCAGCCAATCTTGTCTAGAACACATAAGGGTAGGATGATGATTCTTTTCTGTGAGACTTGCTTGGTTATTTTCTAGCACTTGTGACACCGTGGGGATAGGACCTGGTGCCTGGCTATCTGACTCTGCTACATACCCACTCAAGGCTCTCAAAATCAAGACCTGGATTCAAGGCTACTCCAGTCACCAGTGACAGCTAGGCTTGTGGTAGGGTGCACTTAGCCAACTGTGGGATGATCCAGCTATTCAGCATGTTTTTACAAAAGAAAATCAGGTAGTTTGGCATTTAAAAGTGCTTGCTCTTAGTTGGGCAGTGATAGTATACATTTTTAACCCCAGGATTTAGGAGGCAGAGGCAGGTGGATCTCTGAGTTTCAGGCCAGCCTGATCTACAGAGTGAGTCCAGGATAGCCAGAGCTACACAGAAACCCTGTCTCGAAGAACAAAAACAAACAAACAAAAAGTGGATGTTCTTGCAGATGACCTAGGTTCTTAGGTTCTGTTCCTAGCACCCACCCAGCAGGTCACAACCATCCTCGGTACAATGCCCAAGATTCTGAAGCCCTCTTCTGATCTCTGTGGGCACTGCACACATGCGCTGTCAGGTATTCATGCAGGTAAAACAACCATATACATCATAAAATAAAAAATACAAATCTTTAAAACTAATCCTGAACAACCCTTAAATTTGACCTACAGGCTAAAACCAAATAATCCTAATTTGATATCTGACTAAAGGTTATATGCATACTTTTCAATACGTAATTGTTAGGCTAAAGATAAATTGAACAGTACAGCCCTTGAATAGCATGCCTGAGGCTTTAGGTTCAATCTCCAGTATTTCAAACAACAAAATAAAGGGTTTTTGGAGAGTATGGAATTTAATAGTTCTATATAAGAACATTAGTTCTACAGAGTAGTTTGATCTTTGGTAACTCCTCTATTCTTAGTTCCTCTTTAAAACTCAGACAATGCCTGTTCCACTAAATTGAGAATTGAATGAATAATTTTGTAGTCAGTAAATGTCATGTTCTCAAGTAAATGTGGGGCACTATGCAGGATGTTGGAGACAAAATGACATCTATCAATGTTTATAATCTGGATGACAGTCTATACTATACTATAGCAACAGTATGGATGCTGAAGTGAATATAGAGGTGTGACACACTCAGATATGAACTTTAGGTAGCTTGGCTTCTGAATAAAATACTGGGGGAATTAATCACAACAAAGACTAATAAGGCTTATTAACCCAGGTAAGCTGTGTGTCAAGGCAACCCATAAGGGTGGCGCTGAGGACAGTTAACAGCCTAGAAAGTAACTTTCTGCCATGCTTTGGAAGAAATGCATATTCGCCTTACTCAGGCAGATTTCAAGACCTCTGCTTACATCTTAAAATTCATTTTACAGAGGAAACAGAGGCTTAGAAAGTACTATGAGCTGGGCATAATTCATATTGTAGTTCTGAATACAGCAACAAGCCATGGCTTTTAGAGTTGTCCTCTATAGGAGATCTGTGAGATTATCTTAAAACCTGTCATTTTCTTCAGTCCCAGGGTATCAGACATCCTCTTCTGGCCTCTTTAGGCACCAAAAAATTGTGCATGGTACACAGACATACATGTAAGCAAACATCCATACACATAAAACAGCAAGAAAATAAAGATACCCCTAACAGATGACAAAATCCCTTCTTAGAGAATTCCCAAAATGAGATTCACAGAACTGCAAGAGCAGAAAAAAAGCCTGCACTTGGAAATATCTTACTGGACTGATGATGAGATTTAGAGTAGTTTGGTGATGTGAGTGGATAAGGCCACATGTCAGAATCTGGACCAGAAACACATTTCCTCACTTCCAGTACATTCTCTGTTCACCCACTACAGTGCTCACTGCTCTCTGCTCCACAATGTATGCCTTTGGGCAGTTAGAGGAACAAAATTCTGGAGTAATTACAGAGTAGGTACAGACACTGACCTAACAGTGGATGAGATTATTTTAAACAATGACATGAAAATTCATTTGTGTATGGAAAGTAAAGGAAAAATAGGAAAGAAGGAACTGAAGACAAGTAACAGAAGCACTAGAGGAAGTAGTCTCCTCTTTTGTACTGTTATTTTATTATTGTTATTTATTTTGTTAAGTCCATATATTATATAAAACATGACAGAAAAAAATCAACAAAGTTTTAAAATAAATTGAAAATGTTTGGGTGAAAAGAACACAGGAGCTTTGCCTTCATGTCTACAGATCTCTCAGTATGCTGTTGGTCTTGCATCTGAAGTACTAAAGAAAGGTATCTAGCTGAAACAAAAGTTGGCATGCTGCAAGGTTAAGGGGCAGTTAGTTTGATGATGGGCCAGGAAATAATAGATTCTTTAAACCTTATCCTAAAATATTGGCTATAATAAATGCTGATATGCATAACACAGGCTTTTATCAGACGCAAGAGGAAAACCTGAGTGAATGAATGTAACTTACCTCTAAGTCCTCTGAAAGGAGGTAAGCAAATAAATACTGTGTCTTACCACTGTTACCCCCAAAGCATTGTTCTCAGCATGCAGGGGGGTGTTATGAGTAGCTACAATCAATCAGATCTACCCAGAGGTAAGTTCAGGGCCAAGAACAGGAGAGTGGCTGAAGAAATTCTCCTGTGGCCAGTACCGTTTCAGAGAATGCCCATCTATGCTAGGAGCTAGGTCTATAGCTTAACTTCTTTTCATTCCAAAGGACAGTCCCAGTTTCAGCCTTGCTGAAAAAGAGAAACTTATGCACCTGCTACTGACAACAGCAAGGAAACACGCTACGCCTGGCATAGTTATTTAGTAAGCACATGCTAGCTCTTTCAGTTTGAGATCTACCAAACCATAAATGTGAAGGGAAATGAAACACTGAAGATGGAGCTGTCCCTTGAGGTGAGGACAGAAAGAGGGGTTAGGCACTCTCTCAACTCTATATGGAGAACTTTTGTCTCAAGCTAAGCAGGAGATAAGACCATTTAAAGACTAAAATAAGGGGGTGGGGAGCAGCAGGAAGATTTATGATTCTGGCAGCAATCTGGTGGTAAAATATTTCAAGATTTTTCAATCCAGAGAAGTGTATAAAAATATTAAAGTTAACTGAGCAAATTAACTTTAAAACCAAAAGTTTAAAAACCAAACTTCCAACAGTAGGAATCTCCTAAGATCTGAAATCAAAGAAACTCACTTCATCAATTTTGTACAGTATTAGGAAAAAAAGTAACAAATGTAAAGATTTGTTTTATTTCTATTGGGTGAAGGAAGAGGATAGATATAACTGTTATCCAATTTTCTGTCCACCGTGTACACACATACCCACACACATACATATACATACACACCCAAAAGTTCCCCCCCAAAAGCAAAAACCACCCTCAAACTGTATCAATACTTCATATTTTGACCAAAAGAATAGATCCTGGGAAGTGCAAAATGCAAAATCAAATGACCGAGAAATGCTGATCAAACAGCATTATTAATATACAAAATATTTATATTACTGAACTAGTAACAGGTGATGTTCTCCATGTCTGTAAAACTTTGGAACAACAGAGCTGATTGTTAAATCTAGTCCATGCCAGCTTCCAAAACCCAGAGGATTTTAGTTAGCTTCATTTTTCGATGCTTCATCAAAATTTTCTACAAGATCTGACAAAAAGAAGAAAAGAAAACAATAAATAAAATGCAAATGAGTCAAAATAGTTGCAACTAGAATTAGTTAAAAAACAGAAAAGGCAGAAATGAACTAATGGCATTTTAGTAATAATGACTTTTATAAACAGTAATCTTAAGGAAATGGGACTTTAAAAATGTATGTAAAAATACTAAGGTGAAATATTTTTATGTCAGCTTAATGACAACAATTTTTAAAATTATTTTATTATTTTATGTTTATGGATGTTTTGCCTGAATGTATGGCTGTGTACCATGTGCATGCAGTACCTGAGGAGACCAAAAAGGGGTGCTGGATCCCCTAGAACTGGGGTAACAGATGGCTGTGAGTCACCATGTGAGTGCTGGAAATTGAACCCAGGTCCTCAGGAAGAGGCCAGTGCTCTTATTAGCTGAGCCATTTCTCCAGCCCTCCAATAAAAAAATTTCAACAATAATAAAGTATACTGATAATAAAGAATGATTTCAACTTAATACATGCAGGCAACAGAGCTTTATGGAATATTTTCTGACTCTAAGTTCTGATTCTTTCTTATTTGTTATATCCTATCACTGGGATTTCAGTCTGGACTCCCTGGTCTTTGTGATCTCTGTCTAGAGAACTTAGAAACACAAAGAAACAGCATAAAAGACCAGTACATTCATTTATAATAAAGTAGAGTACATACTCAAGGGGTTAGTGTGGTAAGTGTGGACAATGCTTGAGGGGCCACTGACTCAGACTACATTTTAGGCAGGTTGTATATTATTCTGAAACCTCCAGGACAAACAGCTTTTCTTTTCTTCTCTCTTCTCTTCTCCTCCCTCCCCCTTCCCCCCTTCTGTTTTCTGCCCCCTTTGGTTTTTTAAGACAGAGTTTCTCCGTACAACAGCTCTGGCTGGAACTCACTATGTAAAACAGGCTGGTCTTGAACTCACAGAGATCTGCATGCCTCTGCCTCACAAGTGCTGGGATTAAAGGCAGGCACCACCACCAACTGGCCAACAACAGCCTTTCTTGAGGAACTTTGTTCTGTTCAGGTAAGTGACAGCCCTATTTGGTTTGACACTGATAGAAGGCAATTGTGTGTCTTTGGTTCTCTATCAGATAATACAATAGTCTTTTATAAGGGTTAGCATTCCTGGAACCAGGCTTAGATAGTATTATATAATGGCAGTTTAGGATGTCATGTCTCTCCCATGAACAGGGATAGGGCTTAGGGGACATTTTCTGACCGGAAGTTCCACTCCTTGGTTTTACAGGCTGATGATTATGAGGGAAGGCTCCATCTCCAGTGTCTTCCAAGCCAGCTAATATCTAACTAGAAACCTAACACTATCCATATCATTGTAAATCAAATGAAATTCGGTCAGAAAAATTCTGAAAGTCATCTATGCAATAAGTGAAAGGAGATAAATTATTTTTTCTTAGTTTTATGTGCATGTGTGTGTGCGTGTGAAGGTCAGAGACAACCTGTGCAAGTTGGCTCTCTCCTTCCACAATGTGGGTCTCAGGGAAGAAATTCAAATTGTCAGGCTTGGCACCAAGCATTTTTACTAGAACAGTCTTACTGGTTGGAGACAAATTTTAACACTAACAAAATGTCTTTTACCTGGAACATCATCATCTTCTTCATCAATGTCTTCTGGTTTTGGTGCTTTACTATCCAATACTATAAAAAGTTTATATGAATATTAGTCACTGAGAACAAAGAGCTCCACAGAACACCTTTAATACTTATCATCTCTCTGTCCAAACCTCCTATGGCTACTAAGTACAGTCAATCTAAAAGTCATTTCTGTGTTTTTGCTTAAGTAGCATTAAAAACTCTTAAATTAATTCCACTGTGCAGTAAAGGTAAAAGTTACATGCAAAATGAAGAATTTGAGAAGCTTGAACAAATGTATTCTCCATATAAAAATATCCGAGACTTCCTAATTTGATCTAAGTAACTAGCTATGCAGTATGATCACATGACCACTGAACTACAAGACTTTTTGATGGTTAGAGAGACAAGACATGCATGAAATCAACACCAACTTAAAAATTCAGAATTTATGATTACCATATTTGTAATGGTAATCATAGTAGCAATTGACAATACTGTATCTAAATATTCTATAATACACACTATTAGTTAAAAAAGCAAACTATAAGTTTTATGAAGCACACAAGTGGTGATATAGAAATTATAAGAAGTATGTACTGAGGCAAATTCTTTCCGTTTAAGAAAGACACTTTATATTTATTTATGTATTTATTTTGAGACAGGGTCTCTGGCAAAGGCTGGACTCAACTTCCCTAAACAGCTGAGAATAACCCTGAACTTCTGATCCTTCTGCTGGAATTACAAGCATATGCCATTATACCCAATTTATTTACTGCTAGGGATCGAACCAAAAACTTAATGCATAATAGGCTAGGAATCTGTCAACTGTGCTACATTCTCAGTTTCCGACGGGATGTTTTTAAAATTATTAGGTTTCTTAATTAAAGCAGGGAAGAGGGAAAGTACTGACTTGAAATACATACCTTGCCGTGGGAACTGCTCAGCTAACTTTCTAAGGCTTGTTAAGCTGTCAGCACCAAGCTGACTTAGTATTCCAGGAAGCATTTCTGTGATTGGTTTGGCTTCTGCATGACCAGTAATTGCAAAGGTGTTAGCGGAGAGGGAAGCTTGGACTTTGGGGTTGTTGAAATGAATAACTGTTCCATCATCTTTAATCATGTTCACCTATATGGGCACAGAAAACAATGAATTTCACATGCTAGATTCAAATAAAAATAGCTTAAAAACATTTTTATCAATTATGGCACTTTACACAGTAGCAATCCCACAGCAGTAATTAGCTCAGCAGTGAATATGGCATACAAAGATCCTTGCTATGGAGCCAAGATTACTAGAATTGTTAAGAAAGTCACCCGGGCCTCAAGGTGGAAGAAGTTCATGACCACTTTTTTGTTTATTTGTTTGAGACAGGGTTTCTCTGTGTTGCCCTGGCTGTCCTGTAACTCAAGAGAGCTGCTTGACTCTGCCTCCCAAGTGCTGGAATTCAGGCATGTGCCACTACCACCTGGCTTTTAAAAAATATTTTTATTATTGTATATGTGCATATTGGGGAGTGCACATGCTGAGGTCAGAGGATCTATGCAGGTCATCAGGCTTTTGAAGAGTATCTTGCCCACCACTAATTATTATTATTTTTTAAATCAGACACAAGGGTCTTGTGATTTCCTCCAGTAGCTGGGGCTACAGGTGTGTTGCTAGTTTGTTTTGCATGCTTTGTTCTGGGGTACTCTGGGTATTCCAGGTGCTAAACTAAATCCATCCTACCTCTTTACTTTTTACTTTGAGATAGATTCTTACTGAGTTGCCAGGCTGGCCTTGAATCTGTGATCCTCCAGCCTCAATCTTTTAAGTATCTGGGACTACAGACCTGTGCCTACAGGTTTGACAATTTTCTTTAATTCTTAAATATACCTTCTCACCACCTTCACTAATTTCTGTCAAAAAAGCTCTCCCAGTAACTCACCCTCCAGGAAATGCTTTGTTAATAACCAGGAGGCCTTTAACATCATCCTGCCATTATTTCTTTAGCTTTTACCAATTGGATCTGCTATTTACATTGTTATTTCTCTCTTATGTATTTCCTTTCTAAATTTTTTGGTTTGGTGTGATCTCATTTACACAAGTTAAATGTGTAAATATTCCACCGTGTGATTGATTCCACTATAAAAGTCACCTTGGTGATAACTACTTATTATATAAGGTCAGGAGAGTGACACTTAACTACTTCAGAGGCACAGAACTACTACACTTGTCCCTGGAGGCAGAGGTGGGAGGGGGGGGGCAGGGAGTGTCTCTCTGTGAGTTCAAGGCTAGCCTGGTTTACAGAGCTAGTTCCCAGGACATCCAGGGCTACACACAGAAACCCTATCTCAAAAAAAAAAAAAAAAAAAAAAAAAAAAAAAGGCTTTAATCTTATGCCCTTCCTTTTTTTGGCACTGCACTGGACTGTATCTGAGGAGATCCTTTTTTTTTTTTTTTTTTTTTGGTTTTTTGAGACAGGGTTTCTCCGTAGCTTTTGGTTCCTGTCCTGGAACTAGCTCTTGTAGACCAGGCTGGTCTCAAACTCACAGAGATCCACCTGCCTCTGCCTCCCAAGTGCTGGGATTAAAGGTGTATGCCACCACCGCCCGGCCTGTGGAGATCTTTTTATGTTTTGCTTTGCTTGTTTTTAAGACAGTTGTCTTACTCTGTAGCCCTGGTTGGCCTTAAACTTATAGAAATCTACCAGCCTCTGCCTCCCAAGTGTTAAGATTAAAATTGTATATTATACCACTCCCAGTTTATTTTAGGTTCTTTTAAGTATATCATATGCAATAAGCATTCAATATTGCTGCTTTAGAGAAATGGCATCATAACTCAATTTAGAGCAACATTAGAAGATAATTTTTTTTTATTCTGAAGATGACTGCAGCTTTGGTAGAAAAGTTAAATGTTAAAGTAGTTAAAAGCCAGCCCTGTGGTGGTGGCACACACCTTTAATCTCAGCCCTTGGGAGGCAGAGGCAGGCAGATCTTTGTGAGTTCAAGGCCAGGACAGGCTCCAAAGTAACAAAGAAACCTTGTCTTGAAAAAAACCAAAAAAAAAAAAGCCTTGGAGAACTGGGAGGTAACAGTGGATATCAAGGGAGTTGCTCTGGATCTACTCTGGAGTCCCATAGTTTACCAAGAATAAAGGAAGAATGGTACCTGTGTTTCCTAAATCACTAAATCACATGACTTAGTAAAGGATTTCTACAAACACTTTTGGGCATAAAAAATGGTAACATTGGAATTTGAGACATTCTGGACTTATAGACATTAAAATCATAACTGATTTAAAATCTGTATTATTTTTTATACTAGAGAAGTAAATACAGAGAACAGTGCTCTTGGTTAAACACTATACCCCAGGACAGCTGGTTGTTTTTTTTTTTTTTTTTGGTTTTTTGAGACAGGGTTTCTCTGTGGTTATGGAACCTGTCCTGGAACTAGCTCTTGTAGACCAGGCTGGTCTTGAACTCACAGAGATCCACCTGCCTCTGCCTCCCAAGTGCTGGGATTAAAGGTGTACGCCACCACCGCCCGGCTCCCAGGACAGCTGGTTAAGTATGAACTAAGTACTTGAAATGAACTAGAGTTTCTCAACTTACTGTTTGGTTTCCTTCCTACTGTGCCATCCTTATGCTTAAAACATTCATTTGTTTATATAAAACTCTAATTCTAAGCAAGCTTGTCAAACATTTGCCTCAGAATATAGGTCAAATGGAAAAGAAATAACATTACAGATATGTGGAGAATGAATATATATATGATCATATCTTTGGATTTTTTTTCTGTCTGGGCTCCTCTCCCAGAGGTTGCAGACTGAGTCATAGTGTACATCCTGATACATGTTTCCTCAGTACAATGCTGTCACACTTGAGGGTGACAAGTGAGAGGAGTTCTATTTCAGACCGTGGGTAAATTTATTCATGATTGTTTTAAATAGGGAGGAATAAAGGAAGCAGCTGCTTGAATAGAAAGGTCCAGAAGAGTGGAAAGTTAATCTTAGAAAATAGAGAATGCAGGCCGGGCGGTGGTGGCGCACGCCTTTAATCCCAGCACTTGGGAGGCAGAGGCAGGTGGATCTCTGTGAGTTCAAGACCAGCCTGGTCTACAAGAGCTAGTTCCAGGACAGGCTCAAAAACCACAGAGAAACCCTGTCTCAAAAAAACCAAAAAAAAAAAAAAAAAAAAAAAAAGAAAAGAAAATAGAGAATGCAATACTAGAAAATAAAGGCCAGAATATTTCATTTCTGTTGCGATTTCCTTCCACCCTACTAAGCAAATGGCAGTTACATAAGGCTCCTGGGCACAGCTGTGAGAAATAATCAAAGGATGAAATCAAAGGATCAAATGATCGGTTCTCCTGCTTTTTTAGTCAGGAGGATTCACAAAGCAACTCGTACACATTTTATATGTGTTTAAGTCATGCAATGTATATATACAGACAAAGGACAGCCATCTTGCAGGCCTCAAACTTGTAATTAATGAATTTCTCTTATTCTAAGACAGACTCTAGGTAGACTCTCTGGTCATAGTGTTTCTGAAAATCATTATATGATTTGTTTTGTTAAAGTCAGAGTGTCACTATGTAGCCTTGGCTAGCCTGGACCTCACTATGTATACCAGGCTGGTCTCAAACTCACCTAACTCTGCCTCGTGCATGCCTGATTAAAGGCAAGGGTCTCTACGACCAGCCTATTACATGCTTTCATGCATGCATGTAATGCTGTAGAGCTTTTTTTCCTTCCCCTCACAAGAAGCTGTATTTAATACAAAACTACATGAGTAAGTCATGGTATATATAGTATTCTACATACTTCTAATTTAATTTGCAAAAGTTATGTAAGCAAATGTCTTGCTACTGAAAAGATCAACTTCAGAAAGAGAAAAAAAAGTAAAACTTTTTCATCTTGTTGAAAACTTTACAATTGCTACTTTATATAATTAATTATTTCATGTATATTTTCTTATACATAGAGTTTGCGAAGACAAGCAGACAATGCTGGAAATGGACAGGAAGTGGTGAAGTGGTGAGAGTGTGCACGCGGCAGCACTAATTCTCTGTGTAGTTCTGGGGCTGGGACTCCTCAAGAAACTAGGACAAAGTGGGAGTGGTGGTGTGTGGGGTTTTTTGTTTGCTTGTTTGTGCTTGTTTGTTTTGTTTTTTTTTTTGTTTTTTTTTTTTTTTGGTTTTTCGAGACAGGGTTTCTCTGTGGTTTTGGAGCCTGTCCTGGAACTAGCTCTTGTAGACCAGGCTGGTCTCGAACTCACTGAGATCTGCCTGCCTCTGCCTCCCGAGTGCTGGGATTAAAGACGTGCGCCACCACCGCCTGGCAGTGTTGTGTTGTTTTAATCTCAGCTCAACACTTGGAAAGTTAAGGAGGAAGACTGTGAATTTGAGGACAACCTATTCTTCATAGCAAGATCTTGTATTTTTTTTTTTAAAGAAAGAACTAGAATGACAATATCAACAAAAGGAATTAACAACATAGTTTAAGTATGTAAGAGCTAAGAGTGATGGAATACTTAGCAAGTATGCATGAAGTCCCGAATTTGACTCCCACAGTATGAATGCATATCCACATATACACACACACTCATGCGGGAGGGGGAAAGAGAGGGAGGCAGAAAGAGAGAGAATATGTAACTTTTCTTTCTATAAATGTTTGATTGTAGCTGGATGGAGGTGGTGCACACCTCTAATCCCAGCACTTGGAAGGCAGAGACCGGCAGATCTCTGAGTTTGAGGCCAGCCTGGTCTACAAAGCGAGTTGCAGGATAGGCTCCAAAAAGCTAAAGAGAAACCATCTCTCGAAAAACAAAAACAAAACAAAACAGAAAAAAAGTCTGATTGCTACCAGAAAGACTTCTTTGAAGAAATCACGTCTACATGAAGATCTGAAAGAATAAGAAATGGCAGTATCCTTGGAAACGCTAAGGAAATTTCTTTTATCCATGATGTCACCGACACTGAATTATCCGCGGTAGGTGCTGTATAACCCAGGCCAGAAGACGGGTTTACTTTCTTTCTAGGTGGTGGTGGGGAGTATGTGGAAGGCACAGAGGAGAGGAAAAGGTTAAAAATAAGAAAATACAACTGAAAAGATCAAAAGCTAGCTAGCTCATCATAGTATGAACTCATGAACTCATGAACTCATGTTTTTAACATTTCTTAGTTCAAACCTAGAATTCCAGTCCTTGTCATCTGTGACCCACAGGCTGGTGGAATGCTGCAAGCACTACCGCCTTCATCTGTAACTATTAACTCAGTAGGAGCTAGGAAGCTGAGAGGGAATGATACATACTTATATGGCTAGCCGTGTAACAGTTTCCCACAAGATTATAAGTTAGAAATGACGGAGGCTATGAATAACACTTTCTGCACTGGGAAAATGGTTAGTACACAGTACAAATGCATGGAGTGTTGACTACCATTAAGCTCTTTAGTGTGACAATTTCAGTTACAACAGACTCATGACCTCAGCACAGCATTACAAGTTTTATAGCAGTTTAAAGAGATCAACAATTACTAACTAGGGATGAGTAATAGAGTGCTTGCCTAGCCCTGGGTTGAATTTCCAATACCTCAAAACAAAAATCAAATTATTATGTCCTTATTTCACTATGAAACATTTATTTTAATAAATTGTAATTTGAAGGGCCACAGGAGCTGGAAAGATGATTAGGTGAGTAAGATCACTTGCCATTGTAAGCATGAAGACCTGAGTTCAAATCCCCAAGACCATATAAAAAGCTGGGCATGACTGTACTGGTAACTGTAACCTGTGGGCTGCCAGCCTAGCTCCAGGTTCAATAAGATGTCCTGTCTCAAAGGAACAAGACAGAAAATGATAGAGGAGGATAGCTTCCACAAAGTCATGGCACACTGCCTGGTTCTGTGTCAGCTCGACACAGCTAGAAGAAGGAGCCTCAGCTGAGTAAACGCCTCCATGAGATCCAGCTGGAAGGCATTTTCTCAATTACTGATCAATGGTGGAGGGCCCAGTCCATTATGGGTGGTGCCATCCCTGGGCTGGTGATCCTGGGTTCTATAAGAAAACAGATCGAGCAAGCCATGAGGGGAGCAAGCCAGTAAGCAGCACCCCTCCATGGCCTCTGCATCAGTTCCTGCCTCCAGGTTCCTGCCATGTTTGTCCTCATCTCCCATCATGGAAACATCTCTTTGCAGCACAGGAAGGCCATTACAGAAAACCACAACCAATCAAAATAGCACAGTCCCAATGGTTACATCTACAATGCACTCCTACACCTGAGACTTGAGAATCACTGCAGAGAGAGCATGGAAAGATTAAATGGGCCTAAATTTTGAATCTTATGCATTTATTTTTGGTATTGTTAGTATTAAACCAGGGACTCAGGCATGCTGGCAAGTACTTCAACACTGAGCTATATCCTCCAAGAGAAGTCTGAAGGAACTTAGGTTTTAAGTGTCTTTGTTCTCTTAATATATACATGATCGAGATTATCAGTCTGAAACCCATCACTCCCCACCCCAGACAGGGTTTTTCTGTGTAGTCCTGTCCTTCGACTTGCTCTACTGACCAGGCTGGTCTTGAACTCTGCTTGTCTCTGCCCTCCCCAACTCACCAGTGCTGAGATTAAAGGCATGTGTCACCAGACCTGGCCTGTCTGAAATTTTAGGTCAATGCAAATATATAAAAGCTTTGGGGCCAGTGAGATGGCAAAGCAGGTAAAGGTGCTTGCTGCTAAGCCCAACGGCCTGAGTAAGACTCCTGGGACCCACATAGTAGATCATAACCAACTTTCAAAATTTTTCCTTTAATCTCCACACAACACCGGCCCCCACCATGATAAATAGATATTTTAAAAGATAATATATAAAATCTTTTAACGGCTCAGAAAAAAATTGAAATTAGACATGCAAATCACAGCCTAATTTTTATCTAAGTAAGAATTCTGTCACCTCAAGCTGAAAGGAGAAAAAAAATGCATGTCTTATATTTTCTATCTTATCAATACTAATTGTGACAGTAGATTTAAAGGAGGTTAATTTGCTCATTTGCATGTGTATGCATGGTGGGGCACTCTGTCACTTCATGCCTTGTCTCTAGGACTCTATTATCAGTAATTATCCATTAAGAATACAGTGTACAGGGGCTGGAGAGATGGCTCAGAGGTTAAGAGCATTGCCTCCTCTTCCAAAGGTCCTGAGTTCAATTCCCAGCAACCACATGGTGGCTCACAACCATCTGTAATGGGGTCTGCTGCCCTCTTCTGGCCTGCAGGCATACACACAAACAGAGTATTGTATACATAATAAATAAAGAAATATTTAAGCCGGGCGGTGGTGGCGCACGCCTTTAATCCCAGCACTCGGGAGGCAGAGGCAGGCGGATCTCTGTGAGTTCGAGACCAGCCTGGTCTACAGAGCTAGTTCCAGGACAGGTTCCAAAGCCACAGAGAAACCCTGTCTCGAAAAACCAAAAAAAAAAAAAAAAAAAAAAAAAAAGAATACAGTGTACAAGCAGTGATGCACACCTTTAATCCCAGCACTCCGGAGGCAGAAGCAGGCAGATCTCTGTGAGTTCCAGGACAGTCAAGGCTACACAGAAAAACTGTCTTGAAAAAGTAGAAAGAGAGGGAAAAAAAGAAAGAAAGAAAGAAAGAAAACCTCAGTGATAGCCAGGTGGGATGGCGCACATCTTAAATCCTAGCATTCTGGAAGCAGAGGCAGGGAAATCTCTTGAGTTCAAAACGGGTCTGGTCTACATAGTTAAATTCCAGGCTAGCTGGAATTACATAGAAAAATCCTGTCTCAAAAAAAAAAAACAAAAACAAAAACAAACACAAAACAAAAAATGAGAGAGAAAGAGAGAGAGAGAGAGAGAGAGAGAGACACCAAAGCATTAACATTCACTTCTTTCTGATTTCCAGCTGGATGCCAGCTTCCTCGTGTTCCTGCCCAGGCCTTCGCCATCATGATGAACTATACTCTCAGACGAGAAGTCAAAATAAACCCTTCCTTCAAGATGCTTTTGTCAAGCATTTTGCCATAGCAATGAAAAAAATAATTAATATAATATACTTTTAAAAGTTATCATTTTTGAAAAAAAGTTATCATTTTTGAAAGAGCAAATAAATCCAATCAGCTGAGTATAATCACAGCACTATGGTGGTAGAGGCAGCTATCCAATGAGACAATACTTTAAAAAAATAAAAGCAAACCAGGCGTAGTGGTGTACAACCTTAATCCCAGCACTTGGGAGGCAGAGGCAGGAAGATCTCTGAGTTCAATGCCAGCCTGGTCTACATAGTGAGTGAGCCCCAGGACAGCCAGGACCACACTGATAAACCTTGTATCAAATATTCCAAAATAAATAAATAATAAAAATAAGAAAGAAAGGGGGGAATCAAATCCACATAAAGCTACAGCTAGAAGTTGTTGGATAATGCAATAGAGACTTTGAGTACAGAAAAATGAATTTAGAGTAAAAGTAAATACTAAGGAGGCAAGATCACAAGTTAGAGGCCAGTCCAGAATACAGAGTGACCCATAGAAAAAAGTATAAAACAAAACAGAAAAATCTTAGTTTACATTAAAGTTCAAGAATTGTTTCAAAATTGTCACACATGCAAATACCTTAAGTCTGAAAGTCTGAAGAAAATCCCTAACTACTTACTAAAACCATTTTGTCCTCAGAGAAAATTCACTCACTACATTCTTTCAAAGACATGCATGAAGTAAAGATTTTTCCAAGCTAGCATTTTAATTGGAAAAGTCAAAAGAACTGTGTGTGTGCCATTGTATTTCCCTATAATTTGGACTCCCAAAGTGTTCATACCTCTTCAATACCAGCTATATTGTTCACAGCCAGTTTCTTTAGAGAACTCTGAAGCTTCTTGTCATCAGCAGTAGCTGTCCTATGCACCACCTTCTTCTTTCTGCGAGCTGTACCCTGGAAAATAATCAGACAGAGGTGTCAATATGCATAGCAACTGGCAAGAGTAATCACATCCTCCTGGTTCACAATCTAAAATCCACATTGGAAAAACTAACCAGCACCAGTGATTAACAAGAGCATGGAGTTGTGATATTCAGCCAACACCTGAAGGGCGGCTGTAGTCAGTTTTTATTCTTATTTTATCATTTCAATACATTATGTTTCAAAATATTATTCGGGTTTTATTTTTGGTTCTTCGAGACAGGGTTTCTCTGTGTAGCTTTGGCTGTTCCTGGAACTCACTTTGTAGACCAGGCTGGCCTTGAACTCAGAGATCCACCTGCCTCTGCCTCCGGAGTGCTGGGGTTAAAGGCATGTGCCCCCCACTGCCCGGCAAAATATTTGTCAACAGAACTCAACTTATAACTCTTAAGACGATGGTCTTTATAACAACTTTAAAGCACTGTATGCTTTCGTAGAATTCCTGTCAGTCCCTGCCAATAAAGTCTAAAGATGATCCAAAATCTTATAAGCTATTATATATTGAGAATTAAATCCCTACTGTGTGAGTATTCCAGAGTCTGAGAATCCAAGAATGAAAAAACCAAGATTTTACTTAAGTTCTTATATTACAATAAAAGGGAAGTGTCATCAAGTACTTAAATCACTTCAAACAGGGTAAGGGTATGAAAAAAAAAACCCACAAAACAAAACTAGAATGGTGAAAGAGCAAAGCATAATTTTACTAGAAATGAGACCCCCGACCAGGGAAGAGTAATCCAAACAGGATGAGACAAGACTGAGCTTGTCTTCTGGACAGAGGGGCCAGTGCAGCTAGAGCAGAGTCAACAATGAGGAAGGAAGAGGTAAGTGAAGCATTCAGACGTACAAGGGTCACATCACATAGATTAGGATCTCACGGGCAGGTGTTTAATTGTATCCTAATAGAAAGCTATTAACAGAGACCTCATCTGACCTGTTTATTTTCATCTAAGTTTGCTATAGAGAAACTGAACATGGAGGCTATGTGACCAATGAGGGGGCTGGTGTACAAGTATGGTGAGAGATGAGAAATGGTTACAGGTCAGACTGTTACAAGAGACAAAGTGACCTTGATGGGTTAGATGTAGGGCATGACAATGAGTCTTAGGATTTTAGCCTGAAGTTAAAAATAATACTATGTACTAAGTCAAGAAAAGTTCATTGATAATTAGATATACAGGGATGGCGAAATGGCTCGATGGGTAAGCACACTTGTTGCTCTTCTAGAGGATGGTAGCTCAAATCCTAGCACCCATGTCAGGCAACTCACAAGTGCCTAGAACTACAGCTTCAGGGGATCCAATGCCCTTTTCTGGCTCCTGATGACATCAACAGACACAGAGACACATATACACATATAAAATTTTTAAAAGAATAAAATACATTTTCCATTAAAAACTATTTTAAATTATGTATTAAATTTCTGAGTCAATTTATAAACATGTAACCAACATCAGAGCTGAAATACTACCAAAAGCATAAGTTCTGATGCTAGCTCTTTCTGAACTAAGAGTGATAAACAAATGGGGTCTTTAATCTCTTGGTAGTTCCTGCAGTAGCCCCCAGGGACTCAGCCTTACAGAAGAAAGGCCAGGGTTTCCTGCCTTAGCAATCTCAGTGGGAGAAAAAAGTTGCAAAGGTTCTGATGACATCCAGTTGCTAACAGAACACTTTACACAGATGGCCATTTATTTGGGAAGCATTCCTGACTCAGGAATAGCTTAGCTGCTTGCTCTGTAGTTTTGTTTGAGCAGTGTTGAGCTAGACAGCGAGGCAACCCTGCTTCTGCCTGCCCTGTGCTGTGATTACAGAGTGTGCCACCAGGCAGAGCTGCTCTGTTGAAAGAAAGGTCTTCAGGTAATTCAACCAAACTACTACATAAGTAGTATACATACACCTGTAATCCCAGCATGCAAAAAGACAGAGAGGATTACTTAAAAGTTTGAGGCCAGTCTAGTCAACATACCAAATTCCTAGACTTCAGAGTGAGACTCTGTCTCAAAAAATTCAACAGCCGGGCGATGGTGGTGCACGCCTTTAATCCCAGCACTCGGGAGGCAGAGGCAGGCGGATCTCTGTGAGTTCGAGACCAGCCTGGTCTACAGAGCTAGTTCCAGGACAGGCTCCAAAGCCACAGAGAAACCCTGTCTCGAAAAACCAAAAAAAAAAAAAAAAAAAAAAAAAAAATCAACATGTCTACACACTTATCAGTCCAACAATCTTCTTTCATCTCCTAGATTTTATAGTTGATAAAAGACACAGTCTCAAATTCTAAAATCAAAGCCTGGGAAAGACCTTCAATTCTTCTCTCTGCCCTTCATCTCCCCACATCCCATCTGTCATTAAATCATGCCTGTCCAGCCTCTAAACTTGTGTCCCATGTTGTACAATAGCATCTAGACTGTTCTCCAGTTGATCCCATTTTCCACACTGCTTCCATTTCTAAAACAGCTCTCATTTTGTCCTTTTTTTGTTGTTTTTTGAAGACAGGCTTTCTCTGCATAGTCAATAGTTGTCCACTGCGTATGAATAATATCCTGAGCTCCTTAGAATCGCATATAAAAAGTATGATGAAGCCCAAAGTACTTGCTCATCTCATCCCTACCATTTTCTATCCATTATATACTCTAAACTAGCTGTCCCAACTAAAGCCAGCCATTATAAAGCTCCATATTTTCTCAGCACTCCATGGGCCTTTGCACATATGCAAATGACAATCCCCATTTTAGCCTACCCCCTCTAACCCTTTCACCTGGTCTAGTGATGAATTCTTATTTATCCTTTAAATCCCAGCATGACTTTCCTAAGTAAAACACATTGTTCTTCATTACAATACTTGATAATCTTCATTGTAACTGTGAGCATGACTTTCTTCCATGTTGAACTATGTCAATGTCAAAAGCAAGACATCTTGTTTATTTGCTATACCTGGTATAAATTAAGTATTCAGTTAACAGTAGATAAATTAATGCATGTACCAATCACTACATTAAAAATACATAATTATGGGACTGGGGATATGACTCAGTAGATCAAGCACTTATGTCAAGCATAAGGAACTGAGTATGAACAACCAAAACTGGGGATGGCAGTCACAACTGCAATCCTTGGAAGGGAGAGACAAGAAGATTCTGGAGGCTCACTGGCTAGCCAGTCTAGCGGAATCAGGAAGCTTCAGGCTCACTGAGAAACCATCTCAAAAAATGCAGTGGGGCTGGTGAGATGGCTCAGTAGCTTAAAGTGCTTATGATCAAACCTAATAACCTTAGTTCAATCCCTAGAACTCACATGGTAGAAGGAGTGAACTGATTCCTGCAAGTTGTCCTCAGATCTCTACGTGTGTGTTACACGTTTGCAGTCATGCATGTAATCATGTGCACATATGTATGTCCACACACAAAATAACTATAAAAAATAGGGTAATGAGGCATAGAAGATACATGATGCTCACCTCTGGCCCCCACAAATACATGTGTCTGTAAGCATACACACATGCATAAACCACCCACTAAATAATAAAAGTAATTGTGATAGGTGGGCATCAGGCCCTTCCAGACCTATCTAGTTGTTGCAAACCTCTAATTTTGCATATGTTACAATGTGAGCATTACAGCTAACAGTGTGTTAATATGACTTCACATCATCTAATTTTATCACCATCAGAAGAAAGTACTGGTCACTTCTTTTTCCCTCGACTGCCTCTACCCAAGAGCTGTGGTTATGCTCAATGGAACGCATGGTAACACCTATTAATAGCCTCCTATCTGCCCTTTCTCCATGGTGATCCACAAATGAAGTATTGTTCTTTCTCTCTTTTGCAAACATTGTACTGGGCAAAGATGAGGGTACAGTAGTCTTCTTGAGTTTCAGGCCACAACTGAAGGGAAATCAAGGTTTTGGGGTTTACAACCTCCTGAGGCTTTAAAGTATGTGGAATAGTAAACTTAGGTTCATGTTCAATGGCATGGAAGAAAAAGTAGGCATTTGGAAGGAAAACCTGGCAATCCACAAAATGTATATTCACTTTAAACATTCCCAGTTATGCACTTAACCACATGGAAGTCACATTTTAACCCTAACATCTATCATTCCCTACAAAAGAGGCATAATAGCTACCATTTACATTTGTTTACCACTTACCTTGTGTCAGATACCATTAGGTGTTTATAAACAATGCTCTACTTATTTATTTATTTATTAAGTTTTTCGAGACAGGGTCTCACTATGTAGCCCTGGTTGTCCTGGAACTTACTCTGTAGACCAGGCTGTCCTCAAATTCAGAGAGCCACCTGCCTCTGCCTCGGATTAAAGGTGTGTACTACCACCGCCTGGTCAATGTTCTAATTTTTAGAAGCATTTTAGATAATTATTTCTATTTTGCGGATGAAAACAATGAAAATCTTACCAAGACGAGGTAACTTACTCATGTCACATAAGCAGATGTTGAAATCTGGGATTCAGGGCTGGGAGATTGGCTCAATGGGAAAAGCACAAGCATGAGGACCAGTTTGGATCCCCAGAACCCACAAAGCCAGGTGGGTGTGGTGGCCCCTATAATCCCTGCATGTGGGAAGTGGAACCTTTGCAAGCAGCTGGCAAGAGATTCTGCCTTGCTATGTAAGAGGGAGAACAAATGAGGACGACCTCGTCCCACGTCACCCCTGGGCCTCCACATGCATGTGCACTTGCACACGCGCAAATCCCACACACATACCAAAATTACAATGTGGGGCCTCAAACAAAGGGGTCTATTTTCACTGCCACCAGAGAGAAAGTCCTGTGGTCACATGTTTTAGAACTAGACAAATTATTATCAAACAGGAATGTGGCCTGATTTTAATCACTGACAATATTCTGAACTCAACGACCACCAATACAAAGTAGTAATTCTACCTCGCAATCATACGTTCTCCTACCGGTTTGTCTTACACCACACTCACCTTGCCCCCTATCCGGACCTGAGCTTGAAGTTTGGCTAACTTTTCTTGATTCATGCTCTTGGTAAATCTAGGGGGGGAAAATAGATTTGTTAAATTTAGTTTTACCAAAGTTAAAGACTTATTTATATAAACAATACCTTTTGCTTCACTGAGCTTGTAATATGCATTAACATCATGGTCTTATAATACTATCTATATTAGTAATAGTGACAACCTGTTCTAGCTTCACATACCAATTTAAAAAAAAAATAAAACATCACACGGGAGTCAAATATACAAATGGCAAATGAATGGGATTCAAGGTTGCCTATTTAAAGATCCTTTCTTAAAACATGACTCAGTCTTCTGGCATTCAGAAAAACCTAACCAATTATGAAATCTCTGTAGGCAGCAGGCTTTTTCTTCCAAAGACTTTCAAAGCAGAGAACAGTTACCAAATGTTATTAGCAAAACCTTTAAGTAGACTGTTTTCTCTGGAATCACATTCTGTATTTCTTATAAAGGATAAATAATATGACACAAAGAAAAAAGGCTAGACAAAGAAGAAATTAACAATGGGCCGTCAAAATACAAGCAAGTCACGTCCTCTATTCAAGGTCAGATGTGTTAATAATGGGAAACTACCAGATTTTCAAACGCTCCCTGATTCAGCAGCCCCCGAGTTCACTCTAGGCCTTGCAGGGATAGAGTTTGTCACACTTAACAAGATATTATTGCATATAGAGTAAACTGTTTCACTGCACAATGTGACAGAAATGTATCTTGGCTACATTAATACTGAGTTGGTGGGGAGAGAAAAAATAAGTTTTTATAGCAAATTTTGACTTTTGAAAATTCTAAGGATATTATAAAATCATAAATTCTAGTCTGGTCAGTGACTCTCCTGCTAAAGAAAACATTTTACACTAGAATCAAATATACTCTAATTCAACAGTCCTGTTTGACTTGTTCTGTGGCTCTCCAGATCATTACTGAGATGTGAAGGAGGGAATAAGGGAATAGGGTATCACTAAACTTTTTTTTTTTGCTAATTTTCTAACCTTGTAATTACATCATTCAGATGAGGATACCATTTTTTTTTTTACATTTGAAAAAGAAAAAAAAAGAATCAAAGATCCTGTAAAGTACTAACCATTCTGAACTGGCACTGAACTTAGGGAACTGACCTGTACATATCACTGCTGTAAGGCTGAATCCATTTCCCAAATAAAAATTAGAACCTATGGCTTTTCAATTTGCTCAACACTCTATCACGATGGTCCCGCAGCTACAACTCTTGTATGGGAGGAGTTGTGTGGAGAATCCAAATAGTCTTAGGTGTGTCATGACTTAAAACTTGCCGATATGAACTTCAATCTTGTATTCAAATATTCACAAAAGAACTAACGTTTATTTTCCTCACAGGACTACAGCCATGAAGGTATAGTGAAATAACGAAGAACTTAAGGAATTTCTTGCAGAAAGGAGGTCAAGATAAAACATTAGAACTAAACACAGGACAAGCCCTTTGGGACTATTCTGCATTTTGAGTAACAATCCCAAAGAAGAGAGATGGAAAGACAAGACAAAGAGTCCAGATTTGTTTGAAGCAGAAGCAAAGACAAAATTCTTTTCTTATGTTGTGGATGAAAGAATGATTCCATTCCAGGTGGCCAGGATAACAGAATCAAGAAATCTTATTCTAAGGAGTATGTCGGAAAAAAGAGGGAAATCTTAGGGAGCCTGGGAGCTTAAAAACAGCAGAGGGAGAAATGTGGCCTTTTGTCTCTCAGTTGCTGGGCCGTGTAGGACTCAAGTAGGAAGAGATTCAGACTCATCTGAGACCTCACCAGTCACCGGGTTCAGCCTCTACTTGATATCTTTAATGTACCTGTCATTCTTGCTTAATGTGTGATGTCATCTCAAAGATCTGTTAGTGCAGCAGGGCATAAATTAACAAAAACACTTAGCCTTCTTTTTAGTTTAACAGAAAATGAAGGCCTGGAAAGTTCCCATCTGTGTCCCAAAGGAAGAAGTGACTTCCCAGGGCCACATGATCACTGAGCTGAGTCTCCAAGAATTCGTTTCACATTTTTCGCACGGGCTTCCGAAAGAGTATGAGATGAATCAATATTTATTGAACGCCCAAGTTCTAAGCATCCAGGTACTTTCCCATGCATGTTTACACAAAGAAAAATAATCTGTGCTTTGAGCCAGGACTTTTGATGTGAGAGTTCTCTACCAGTAGCAAAAGCTGTGGCATCAGAAAGCCCAAGGTTTTACCACTCAGGGCTTCGGCAAGCTATTTAACTTCTTTGAACTCATTTGTTTCTCCTGCATTACGAAAAGTAAACCCACCACGTACTTTACTGAATTGAAAGATAAAGCTTAGATTATCAAGTTAACGTCAGATACTTAATAGTTGGTAACTAATGTTACCACTCTTCCAGAGGACCACTGATGATATAATGAAAGAACGTGGGAACGGAAGTTGAAACCGCCATTCACCAACTGTGTAACACTGTGCCTGGCGATCAATCATCAGCGTAATGAGGTTATAAGGATGGGCTGTCTCAAAACCAAGGTAGACTTGTAAACAAACACTTCCATTAGAAAGTGAAGAGCGCTGCAACCTAGTTCGGGCCCGAGAGGTTGGGGGCCGGGTGCTAACCTCACTTTCCCTATCCGTAGATTGGAAGGAGCAAATGAGATGACAACAGACAAGCTGTACAAAGCTCAAAGCGTCTGACATCGTTGTTGTGAATAATGAGTGACGGCAGGAGGAGGGCTCGACCCTCCTGGGACTGGACCCGCGAGGCCAGAGCCCGGGCCCGGGCCCTCCAGAGCGGGCGATGGTGCTGGGGACCTTCCCTCAGGTGCCGACCCCCAGCTGCGCCGCCCGTAACCGACAGGCCGGGCCGGCCGCCTCCGCCCCCACTCGCCGCGCCACGGCGGAAGTGGCAGCCAGAGCGGACGGCGGGTGTCGGAAGGGGAGGGCGGGGGGGAGACCGTGCGCAGCGGCCGGAGGCCGTGGGGTGGCGGGCCCGCCGGGGGTCTCACCTGCAGCGGGGAGGGTCCTCCAACACCAGCACGCGGCAAGAGCAAGATGGCTGCCTTAGCTGAGACAGAGAAAGACCGCGGCGGCGGGAGCGGCCCACGTGACGCACGGCTCCGCCTCGCCCGCGGGTGGCGGGAGTGGGGGTGGGGAGGGCCTGGCCGCCGCGCGCCTCCCAACTACAAAGCCCAGCCTGCCTCGCGCACCCCAATATTCTGATTAGCGGCGGGTGCTGGGGCCGCGCTGCATCCTGGAAGTGGCCGTCCGTCCCCTCTGCGCCCCATTGTGACTGCACTTACCTTTTGTCTTGGACCTAACGGAGGGACGGCCTGGAGTTTAGTTTGGGTGTATACTTGGTTGGGATGTTGTTCACTGATGGACTCTTCTAGTACCAGGAGGGAAAGTCGGGAAATGTTGACTTGTTAGGTTGTAGAACGGAAAGACATACTCGACCCAAGACAGAAACCAACAGATTTAACGGAAAGAAGCGCTACACTTAAGTCATTGTAGTGACTTATGTCCCGGTTCCCTAGGATCACCTCATCAATTGTGCAATAACAGGCTCCAAGCATGGTTTTCTTGGAGCTTGCGTCAGTTGATTGCCTCATGCCTGAGTGAAGACGTGCGGATGCGAGGGGGAAGAAAAGGTCCAGAGCTTCTCCAAAGTGCATGCCTGCAAGACACAGACGTGTGCATAGCAAAACGCGCTTACTGGTTGGGTTTCTAAGGAATCCCGAGGAGAAATCTAACAATGAAATACTGTAGTCCAGTCTTTTTTAATTTGCACAGTGGGACGGGAAATTCCAAGCCAATGGATGACTTCTCTGTTGTGAGAGGCTGATCTCACAGATAATAATTTGCTTTTCGAATATTTAGTGCAGTGGTCCTTGGGAGGGAAGGGCTAGGCTGGAGGTCAGACGCAATTAACAACGGTTTTCCCGAACTCGGCCCACCTTATGCTGCTGTGTCCCTTAGACCTAGACATCCAGGATTTAGGGAAAGCAAACTCAAAATGTACTACCCCCATCTTTCTGCGTGATCTGCACCTTTAAGCTTACTACTCCATTTCAAAGCGGACCCCGGAGGCACCGCCCACATCCGTCTAACATCACTTCCTTCAGTGTTTGGGAGAAAGAAAAAAAGAAAAAAGAAATCTGGGAACCCGGGGGGTTGGCCTGAGCGGCGATAGGAGAGCGGACCGGACCTGCTGCTGGGAATCCTGTGTTCTTTCAGTTCCGTGGCCCTGTGCAACTACCACCATGGAGATGTCGTTTCGTTTCGAGGCCACCTGTTTGCTGTGCTGCAGTTTCCTGCTCCTCATCACTTCTTCAGATGGTCGCACTGGGCTTGGAAAGGGTCAGAACTCGTTCCTATCGTTATCTTTACCGACCTCGGGTCCCCTTCTCGTCCTAATACTCTCGCCGAATCTTAGGCCACACCAGATTTCTTTTTATCTTCTTCCTCAGCTGCTCCGGGGGGATTTCTTGGGGTAGGGAGTACCTACCTGGTGGGAGAGGATAGAGGGAAGTTGTACTTAAGGGCGCTCTTAATTCTTGGTTTGTAGAGATATGGCCCTTAAATTAGGACTAGGCTGTTTTAAGAGTCCAACACGTGTAGTATTGGGCGCTTGGGGAAACTTTCTGGAACTGTCCACCTTTACGCCTGAAGAAATAGGGTCTCTGGTGACTTGTGTGTGTATCAGAGATTACCGCTTGGGTTTGAAGATCTCACCACCCCCAAGACCCAGCTCCCGACTACCCGGGAGATGCAGAAGAAAGAGCCAAATGAAGGCGAGGTCTTCTGCTAGGTTACCGACAGTTGTCTCTGGTGTAGCTCAGCTAGTGTGTGGAGGAAACGGACTTTTTTAGATGGAGGCATCAGTGTTTATGAATGAAAGTTAGGAAGTGTGAACCCTCTACTCCATGCTGTTACCTACATCTTTCTAAACTTGAATACCTTCTCGTCAGTTCTTTTTTGAAAGCTGAATTGGATAACTGGATGAGATGTAAATGGATCCCAACCCTGCTTTGATTATTTCTGATCTTACTGTATGGGTTCCTCCTGCCCCTGCTGCTGTGGTGGGGTGTGTGTACGTATGTGTGTGTATTTAGTGTGGTATCTGCCCACGTGTGTGCTGGTGCATGGCACACATGAGTAGGCCAGAAGACGACGCTAAGTGTTTGCCTCTTCTGCTTGTTCTCCACTTAGGAGACAGGGTGTCTCATTGAACCTGAGCTCACCATTTAGGTTAGCATTCCTGTGAGTTCCTGGGATCCCATCCCCCATGTCTGGAGTTACATGCATGAGTTGCCATGCCAGACTTTTATATGGTTACTTAAAAATTGAACCCAAGCCCTCTTGTCTTCACAACTATTCTTATCCTCTGAGCCATCTCCAGGCCCAATCATACTGTTTTTAATTTTAAAAGATTTATTGTGTGTGTGTGTGTGTGTGTGTGTGTGTGTATACGTGTGTCTCTGTATATGTGTGTGTGCGCACGTGTGTAAATGTATGGTCCAAGTAGGCCAGAAGAGAGTGCAGTTCCCCAGGAGCTGGAAGTACAGGCCTGACATGGATGTTGGGAACCTCTGGAAGACTAGCATGTACTTTAACTATTGGGCCATCTCTCTATCCTGTTTATTCGTTTGTTGGTTTGGTTTTTCAAGAAAGGGTTTCTCTCTATAGTCTTGACTGTCCTGGAACTTGCTTCGTAGACTAGTCTGGCCTGGAACTCACAGAGATCCACCTGCCTCTGCTAGGATTAAAGGCACGTGCCACCACTGCCAGGCTGTTGTTTTTGTTTCTTTCTGTTGGTTTGGTTTGGTGTTGGTCTGGTTTTTCGAGACAGTGTCTTTCTGTGTAGCCCTGGCTGTTCTGTATCTTGATCTATCGATTAGGCTGTTCTCAAACTTAGAGATCCTCCTGCCTCTGCCTCCCAGGTGCTGGAATTAAAGTTGTGTACTACCACTGCCTGGGCAATGAGTTTGAGTAGAAATTGAGTAGACCTGTGTTAGTATTGATTTTTGATTACCAATCATATTTTGGTCATTGACTTGGAACTAGAGACGTGGCAATAAAGAGAATAGACCAAGCGCTTGCTTTTGTTGAGTGTGTATTCCAGTCAGAAAGAGGGTGAGAATAGGCTAGGTCATAACAGATTACTGAGAGAATTTCAGCTTTTATCTTATAAACTTGTGGTAGAGTAAGAAGTTAAGCTGAGGAGGGCAAGGGAGCTGCTGTTGACTTGAGTTAGGAAGGTGAGAAAAAGCTTTTCTAAGGTGATGTGTGGATGTCTATCTGTCAAGGATGTGATACACAGCGCAGTGAGTCCTATTGGGTCAAAATGTTTCAAATATTGGTAATCCTGCTGTAAAACAGACTGTCCTGTGTATAACTTACATATAGATTCTATGGATTAAGATTATATCATACTGGGGCTGGAGAGATGGCTCAGTGGTTAAGAGCACTGCCTGCTCTTCCAAAGGTCCTTTTGTTCAATTCCCAGCAACCACATGGTGGCTCACAACCATCTGTAATAAATAAATAAATTAATTAAAAAAAAAGATTATATCATACTTACCCCACCTCAAAAAACAAACAAACAGAAAAAACCCAAGTGCTCCCTGAGGCCGGAGTTCCCAGGATTTCTGACCAGTATTGTTTCTTCTGGGATGTCTAAGGAGCTCCAGCTCTTTCCAGAAGATGCCTTGGCTCTTTGCAGAGAGGAAAGATGGAGTGACCATCCTTCCTACCCTCCCCCAACAGTTTTCACTGTGAAGAGCAAACACTGCAGTGTGGAGTGTGCACTATACTGGGATTATTAAGGCCTAGATTTTAATCTTGGTCAGGTCGTTTAGCCAGCTCTGGTCTTCCCCTGGTGACTACTTATTAAGGGGGAGGTTGGGCTAGAGATGTGTCCTGAGGGCCTTACAGCTCTAACATCCCAATGTCTGAAATCACTGTTCTCTCAAGACTAGAAATCGCAAATGTCTCACCCTTGAAGAGAAGCATGACTGGCGTTTACTTCTCCTCTGCTGCCTTCAGGCACTGCTCTGTGCCTTTTTTCCTACAGCGACTATTTTCATTCTTACAGTAACTCTGTGAGGTGGGTGATATTTTTCTTGTCATCCCCATTTCACAGATGAAGACTCTAAAATGAGGTGTTGGGAGTTAAGTGGACAGCAGGAAGATGAGTCCCAGAGCCCATGTCTGCACCACTGTGGCCTCCAGTGTAGAGGAGGAAACTAGCCACTCTCCCGCTCACAATAGAAATCGATGATTTCAATCTCTGGATTTAAAAGTTGGCACAATAACACTCCATGCCCTGTTTTCAGCCACAGTCACGTCAGGAGACATGTTTTTGTTAGCTATATTTCGCGTTTATGCAAACGATAGAGGTTCTGAGCTGCAATTCCAGCTCAGCTTTCTGACTGCAGACCTCTCTTGGCCAGGCTGTTTGTTACTCTACCTTTCAGGTACAGTGTTCCCTGTCTCAGCCTGGCTGCCAGCCCTGACACTTGACCTCTCGTTATTTAGTTTTCACCAGCTGGAGTGTGGGTTAATGTTCTTCTAATGTCTTTAACATGGTTTTTAGGACAAAGCTTGGACACGGACATAGTGTCCAATAGTGGGTTTGGAAATGGCTTTGCCTGTGTTAGGCATCGTCTCTGGAAAGAGCTGTTGGCACGGGAGCCTTTAGCTTCCTTTGCAGATACCTGGCATGAACTGTCTTGCGGGCGACACCTTAGGAAACTGGACTGCCTTCAGAGGTTCCGAGCTGCCGTGGCCAGGAGTATGGGTGCTTAAAACTGTCCCTGTATAAGTTCTTCTTCAAGGGGAGAACAAAAGCAAAGCAAAACCCTGCAGGCGTTGTAGAGCTGAAGCATTCTCGAGGTGCATTCCCTCGTTCATTTATCTGGGGTTCTCGAGGTGCATTCCCTCATTCTTGTATCTGGGGTTCTCGAGGTGCATTCCCTCGTTCATTTATCTGGAGTTCTCGAGGTGCATTCCCTCATTCTTGTATCTGGGGTTCTCGAGGTGCATTCCCTCGTTCATTTATCTGGGGTTCTCGAGGTGCATTCCCTCATTCTTGTATCTGGGGTTCTCGAGGTGCATTCCCTCGTTCATTTATCTGGAGTTCTCGAGGTGCATTCCCTCATTCTTGTATCTGGGGTTCTCGAGGTGCATTCCCTCGTTCATTTATCTGGAGTTCTCGAGGTGCATTCCCTCATTCTTGTATCTGGGGTTCTCGAGGTGCATTCCCTCGTTCATTTATCTGGGGTTCTCGAGGTGCATTCCCTCATTCTTGTATCTGGGGTTCTCGAGGTGCATTCCCTCGTTCATTTATCTGGAGTTCTCGAGGTGCATTCCCTCATTCTTGTATCTGGGGTTCTCGAGGTGCATTCCCTCGTTCATTTATCTGGAGTTCTCGAGGTGCATTCCCTCATTCTTGTATCTGGGGTTCTCGAGGTGCATTCCCTCGTTCATTTATCTGGGGTTCTCGAGGTGCATTCCCTCATTCTTGTATCTGGGGTTCTCGAGGTGCATT